CTCTGGTACAAAGTACCATCTGTATTGCAACTTTCGTATAATCTCCAGGTGTATGGTGCATAGCGTATTCCCTTTGTGTACCCTGAATGCTTCTTGCCATGTGTCTGTCTCTAGTTCGTACCCTAGTTCTTTGTGCCACGCTTTTTGAAAGGTCATGTTGTGTTCTGTGTCTAAGTCTATGAGGGCCGTGTATAATTTAGACAGTGTTTTTCTAGGGGGTCTGCCCGACAAGCAAAGGTTCTCAATCTTTTGTGTGTGTATCGTTTCATGGTTTCGTAAAACTACTCCTGTTAGTAGCCGGTACGAAAATATTGCCCTATTGGATATTTTGTACCATGTTTGGAGTTCTGGAAAAGGTAATAGGCCACCTTTCTCGTATAAGTGGTTAATCGTTAGGCATCCGGCCTCTTTCCACGGTTTTGTGTCTAGGGTTGGGGTACCCACTGCCAAGCATGACAGTGGAGCGTTCTTTTGTATTTCCATTGGATCCCAACCTCTCTCCCTCATATCATCCCAGTGTTTCAGTTTTAGGGCTGTAGTTGGTAGTGGGTGCATGGTTTGTGAGTGTATCGGTCTGGGGAGCCAGAAGAGGTCTCTCAGCCCCTGTCTGCCCATCCAATGGGCTTCTATTTGTGTCCACTGTAGTGTCTCTCCCTCCGCCGTGGCTGCCTTGATTGCTGTCAGTTGTGCTGCTTTGTAGTAAGCCCGTATGCTTGGGAGTCCCAGACCCCACCTTGTCACTGGTTGTTGTAGGATCGTGGCTGCTACCCTTGGTTTTTTGTTTGCCCATATGAAGCGGGTTACCAGTTTCTGTATGAATTCTAAGTACGTTTTTGGTAAATTTATGGGTAGGGTGCGAAGTAGTATTGAAATTTTGTGAGTATCCGCATTTTTATCGCTGCAATTCTTCCTACCCAAGATAAATATTTCCCTTCCCAGGTGGTTAGTGTGGAGGTGATTTCTTTCCTGAGTGTGATGTAGTTTTTGTCTAGTAGTTTGCCCAGATTGGGTGGTATCTTAATTCCTAGGAAGGTCAGTTAGTCGTTCTTCCAGTTAAAGGGGAAGGCTGCTTTGAGTCTGTCTAAGGATTCTGATTTTAGCCCAATTCACATGGCTTGTGTTTTTGATACGTTAAGCTTGTAGTAAGAGTGTTTTCCATACTCTATAATGGCAGTCATTAGGTTGGGCAGAGATATGTGGGGTTGTGTCAGCGTCAGCAGAATATCGTCAGCGAATAGGTTCGCTTTGTAGTCCCTGTCACCCAGCTGCACCCCATGTATTGATGTGTGTTGCCTTATGACTGCCGCTAATGGCTCCAGGGCCATCACATATACCAGGGGTGACAGGGGGCATCCCTGCCTGGATCCGTTGGTTATAACATGTATATTCTCTTTGAGCTGTTCCGGGTTGTATCTTGTACGTGGTTTGTTCATGTATACCAGCTTGTTCAGGTGTCCCCACAGGGAGTAATTGGGAGCTGAAAGGTCAGGCAAACATGGCGGCTCCATTATAATATGTACCTGCAACAACAACAAAAAATGAACTACTAACAAGTAAATTATTTACCTATCAAATCCTAATTTGAATTTTGATCCACCCTGTATATATCGATATATACACACACGCACACACTCCCTACATATATTCGGCTAGCAGAGTAGTTCTCCACTTATTCGTTACCCATTCGTGTACTGTCATATGGCAAGGTTGTAATTGATGTGCTGGTTCCTTGAACACTATTAAATAGGCGAAGTACACACTATGTCCCTCCTAATTCCTGCATGCCTTACATTTTGAGGTTCGGATTTATATGAAATAATACTTTGGATGCCCATGACCCTTAGTAACCAGGAGAGGATTTATAAGGTCTCCCTCCTATCCTACACACCAAGTGCCTCTGAGCTACTAAGCAGTGTGTCCTATATTTGTCACACTATTCATGAGTAGTTTTACTTCTTACCCTGGGAAGGCATTCCTGGCACCATAACCGCGATATTGACCTGTAGTGGTTGGAGTGTTCATTTAATAATAATTAATTTTAAAAAATTAAATGTGGTTTGCTTTTTATGATAGTTCAAATAAGTTTTACAGCCAGAAGAAACACTCCAAGCACTATAACCATTATGAACGATAGACCAAATATGTATGTTAATAATTAATATTTTTTTTTTATTTTTTTTTTAAACCATACACTTGAAATTCCTGCATTTGCTATAAATCACAAAGCCTTTGCCGTTTCTGGAGTGGTAAGACCAGAGAGTGACCCAATCTATCGTTATGCTCTCATGCCTTTCTATGGTAAATCTCAGTCTGTCCCTCAAATCCCTGCACAGTAGGGCTTTATTGAAACAGTTTCCCAAATGCCATGCTGAGTAGTTTAATATAATAAGGCATTGTATGGCAAGAAGGAGCCATAGGTCCACCTTTGACATGTTTGCGTGACGAAGTGGGCTTATAGCTGCAGTCATTTTTTCAAATGATTAAACACTGTGTGCAGGTTGGCAGAGTGGGGTCCTCATTGCACCTTTACCTATACAAGAAACATAATCTCCTATGTTGATTGGAATATCCTGTTGATGACAATTCCATATGTAATATACTTCTTTATATCGCATTCCCCTCTTGTACCTTTGGTAATGGTCCGGTTTCAATTAGTGAAAAGCTGGAAATACCAGATAGAGAGAGTGTGGGCTTAGAGGTTGGCCAGGCAAATCATGTACTTTATTGCAATGTTGAGAAGGAGCGTTCTAACACATCTCACAACAATGCCTGCTATTTGACACACACATTCATTTGCACTTATTAAATTCAGGCGTACTGTGTACTTATGCTGTCACAAGATGGAAGAGTAAAAGCATGATTGCCCCCCCTCGATTACTTAATTGTGATGCTGTTGAGGTCACGATCCCTTGGCATTAAGTTGCTGCTTCTCACGTAGCGTTAATGGGTGCTCTAGTCACGTAAAAATACCAGGCAGAAACAAATGAGGGCTGTGAGTGGAAACAAGTACATTTTTATTAAGCTTTTTAAAGCATGCCTTGTCTCCTGAAATATCTGATCAGTGAAAACATCAGAGCTGCTGTCAGTTTAACCTTTACAAGTTCTGGCCAGTAATTAATGCATTTCAGGTACTGCAGAGTAATGACGACTAACACCGGCCACTTCGATGTTTGTGATCAGCATTTCCCATAATGCTGAGACAGGTAAGGTGAGAATCATGGGAAATATGGCAAACAAACATCGGAGGTGCCAAGGTTATCGATAACTGCTATAGAATAAGGACGTTACAAAGGATACGTAGCGATAATAACAAAACAGCTGTATGTGGACATCTGCATTAGGCCTAGCAGAACTCTTACACACGACCCGATAATTGCCACCCCACTTTGTCACCTGAAAGGATTTACCCCATATTTACCACAGCTGTACATTCCAGAAGTACAGTCCATCACATTTTTAATGCAGGTACCCCTTAACCATGAGTCCCCCTTAATGGTACGTATCTAACTCTATCTATCTGACTTTACCCACACTGGCAATGTTTAATTGGAAAAGACATCAAAGGCAAAATCTGACATCATGTTTTTATTATATATGTAAATCCTTTTCAACGTTTACAAATTCCAAGTTAGCTCTGTTTAAAATGTGTGGATTCCTTACTTCAATATATTGCACATGTATCATATTATATTTGTAACAGCCTGCATGTCAAAATCTGGAGCCTTCTTTGGACACCCATTGACTGAAAGGCCAGTCTGTGTTCATAACGTTGGCTCAAAGCTGGCACAAAATCTGATCCCCAGCTGAAGTGAAACTACAGTCTACATAGTACTTTGCCAGCCACCATGTGTAAAAGCATCATGGAATTTACAGTTTCACAACAGGTTAGAGGTTACATGTCTGCCTTGTGACTGGCCATTTCATATTTTATTATTATTATTATTATTAGTGTTTATCGTGGGTCAACATTTAGTACAGCACTGTGTAGAAAAGAAGAAGGTCCTGCTGAAATGAGGTCACAACCTAGGAGATCGAAATGCCATAAGCACTACATCTCACTGTAGTGGTTTTGGTGTAAAGAATTTGTGGCCACTATTCCACCAGGTTTGTCTCAAACTTCATTAGTCTTTTTTGCTTGAAAATGGTTTGACACAAACTGAGATGATGCCCACAGACTTTTTGCACCATAAAAACTCCAATAAGCTGTAATGGTTATGGTGGTTAGCGTACCCTGTTTAGATCTTTATCACCAATTAAAAGGGAATAAAATCCCAGCACTCGGTGAATGTGGTGAAACCAATGTTTTTATTCAGTCATTACAGAGATAATGTTTCGACACACTCTGTGTCACTGTAGCACTGTCTATCATGAAAGTTGTCTCCCATCTCACCCTCTTAATCTTTTAAGGGACTTTTTATTGGCGCCACCCATGTACTACGCTATAAATAAATATTTTTTTTAATTTACAAAAATGTCATTGCTTGCTGCAAAATAACATTTCATTATAAATATGATGCTTTGTTTGAACCAGTTTTCCACGCAGAGACCTTTGATAAATAGTGTTGTGCAACTGATTGATTTCATCAAATGTCAAATCTATCAAATTTCATAAAGTGTTAGAAAGACTTCAGGCAGCTGTAGGTTTAAATGGGCTGTATAAAACATTGATACAATGGCAGATGTAGTCACTTAATTCACATATACCTGTAGCCAATTTAGGGGAAATGGTGTTTATTTGCACATTGACTCCTTTATTAGATTCATATATATGGTACTAGTTAGGGCAACCTTATGCCTACTGATCAGTAAAGTGATAAAATATTTAAATAGGTTGTTTTGATAGTATCGTATAGTGCTTACAAATGTTCAGCCACAAGTTAAAGGACCACTATAGGCACCCAGGCCACGTGCCAGATCCATCTAGGGGTTAAACCTGCCTGCTGTAAACATAGCAGTTTCATATGGGTTAATCCAGCCTATGTTTACATATGGGTTAATCCAGCCTCTAGTGCAGGGATGTCCAACTTGCAGCCCCCCAGATGTTGCTGAACTACAACTCCCATGATTCCCTGGCTATCTTTTTAATTGAAAGAATCATGGGAGTTGTAGTTCAGCAACATCTGGGGGGGGGGGGCGCAGGTTGGATAGCCCTGCTCTAGTGGCTGTCTCATTGACAGCCGTTGGAGGCGCTTCCGCGCTTCTCACTGTGATTTTCACAGTGAGAAGACGCCAGCGTCCATAGGAAAGCATTGAGAATTCTTTCCTATGGACTGACTGAATGCGTGCGTGGTTCTTGATTTGTGCTTTTTAACATGGTGCATCAGATCTTGGAATTATCCATTTAAAAATGTGTAATTTGTGACCATACAGATGCCTCAGATGCTTCAGGATTCTGTGACATTCAAATGATACTTGATTGGCATTAAAGGGCCTTATATTTCTGGAACTGTCATTTTGTGATCACATATTTACAGTTGCCTTTTATAAATTTCCTAACTGACATGTATTCTGCTCCTCTTACCCATCTGATTCAAGATTTGACGCACGTTATTCAGAGGTGCTCTCCTGCACACCACAGTAGGGAAGAATAGTTTTTTTGAGTAGTTGACACTTTCCTTTCAGCTTGAGTGTGTGGCTGTAGGTATCTGACCCCTCTAATTAACAAGGTATTTATGTTCCCTGACTGTCACTTACTCAATATTTTTGACTTGTATACATCTCTGTATAAAGTAAAGACTGAAATGTGTGGAAAAAATAGGTCAGTGGTTTCTAGAATGCTGTGACTACCATGTCCTGTCCCAAGATGCCTTGATCGTGCTTCATTTAATGTTTTATTGTTTTGACCAGCTAAACCTTTTGACCAAGTTTGCTTGCTTAATAAATTATCCGTGATTTGTTCACAATATTGTGTGTGTGTGTGTGTGTGTGTGGATATATAATACAAATTTATTTTTTTTTTGCTAAAATAAATCAGCAGCTTGTAGTCAATATTAGACTTTGCTGCCATATAATGTGTTGTGTGTATTAGAAATATATCTTTATAGTCACATGATCTAAGACAAAAATAATGGGTGATTTAGTTACAGTATATGATCATACATTGCATAAGCTCGCCACAACGTCAATGTACCCCATTCTTGGCTGGTCCTACTCTAGCACCTAATGGGGAGTCAGTCTGTCCTCCAAAAAGAACAGATATGTATGTTTTGTAGTATAGATATTCACAGGATAATATTTAAGATTATGATACTAAAACAAAGTGCAGCAAATTGTGTTGCTTCAGGCAACCTTGCCCCAGATAAAGATTTTTCTGTCTGGTTTGCATACACTGTTGAGCAGAAATTCATATAGCATAGAACTCCATTATAGAAAAGTCACCTATGACTACGTGAATATTGCTGAAATATGCCAAAGCTTGTGAACCCTGCTCGCCTTTCCGTTGTTTAAAAGGAATTCTTAGACTTTGACCTTTTCCGAATATTATTAGAAAGGTGCTGACTACCCACATCAGGATAACATTATAAAACAGATCTAGAAAGTGATGATTTCTTTCATGGTTTTTATTAAAACAGTTTGTTTAAATTTATATGGAATGCACGTATACATATCTGCACATTGTTGTGCTTTCAGGTGTGTTAAGTTATATGCTTCATGACATTTCCTTGGTACTTGTCCAAGAGTTGAGGTCATTTGAAGATTGCTGTTAAAGTGCAAAGCAGCTGCCGAGCTAATTATACAGCGCAGATATTCTAGCGGTTAATTTGACTTTTTGATCCTTAGTTTTGTGGTTTTCTTCTCCACTTTTTGTGCAACTGAAAAGAAAAATGTGAAAACCATAAGTGCATATAGGGGTGCAGTCTACTTGTAGAAATGGTCTAATTACAATAATTGTATAATGACAGACGTTGCATCCCCTTTTTTTACGGATGCTTCTACCACCTCTCACCTGCTGTGAAAAGGCTATATGGCCTTTGGAGGGAAGGCCATAGATTATGGACTCAAGGAAACTCTGTCTAACAGTAGAGACAATGTTGCTGGCCTCCTGCAGTGGCATTGTGTTGCATTGCTCCATCTGTTGGTAAAAGATTTCTTCTCACATGGGAAGTCCTATTTTTTTTGCATATATTTGTATGTTGAGTAAATACATGCAGGATGTTTATTTGTCTGTGTTCCCCTTGGCCATTTCTGTAAGTTGGTCTCGTAGAGATCATCTGTTTGGAACAGCGTGGCATTTAGCGGCGCATGCACACTAGCCTCCCAATACCTCGAATATGGAGGCAGAACTTCCCCGCAGAGACTGGAGAAGATAAATAAAACTCAACCTTTATTCCCTCACACGGAGGGGTAGACATTAATACAGTTAACTAGAAACTATAACGTTAAAGTGTTCCTTAAAATGTTAAAGGCTAGACGTGGATTGAAATAAAAATTAGAGTTTGTGCACTTTTTGGAAATCTTGCCTGGTTCCGGGATTTCAGTGGCAGAGTCCAAGAACATGCTTTCAACCTCCACTGCTCCCTGCTAGTGGGTATCTCCTACAGAGTCTGACCATCTGTTGGCGTAGAGTTGTCCCTGTGAGCCACAATCTTCCATATAAAGACAGTGTTGAGAGCATTCACAGGGATCAATACCTGCTTGGAAGTAGGAACGTTCCTGTAAGTCCTTTCCGATGTTCATTCCAGCTTGCTACGTCCCACTTGTTGGTACTGCTACTTCACATCTGGAAATATTATATTTTTGCTCAGGTTAAAATACTATTTCCATAGTTTGAGCGGCAGTGCTGCCTCTCTTACTTTTACGTTTATAGGGGAACCCTTATAGATGCTACGGAGCTTGGGTCCATGTCGGCTCTTATAGGATGTGCTTTGATATCTTCATATAACCGTTTCAGGCTACTTGTATAGTATGTGAGGTAGGTCAACAACTCACTTGTTGGAACTGCCAAGTGCGCTATGGAAAAAAACAGTGAGCAAAAATTACTTATTGCAAAAGTCAAGCATCCTTAAGACTTTTGAGAAATATCCTTATTTGATGGGAATTACTGCTTGAATTTCTAAAGAAAGCAACCTTCAGTTTCAAGTGGCAATAAATAAATGAGCTTTTATCGAAAGGGACCTCAGCATTATTATATATGCCTGATGTCTTTCTATTGTTGATGCCTTCTCTTCAGTGGTATTTTAGATATTCAAACCATCTTTGAGTTTATTGCCTTTGTAATAGACTATTAGGAGTGGGTCTCCCAGGTATTTGTCTGTGAAGAAAGTGATGACTCATAACGTAAAACATCTTGCTAGGAACCCATAAGACATCAGCAAGCTGGACTTCTGCAATGTAGTCATCACAAATGCAACGAAGGACCTCAACAGAAATTGCTGTAACCAGTCACTTATTTCCATAAAAGGAATCAGCACGTAGCTCAAAGAAAGTATCACACGAAGGCCAGTGGCTAAAAAATTCATCATGAGGCAAACCATAGTCAGGCAAGCAGTTATGAAATTATGAATATTTTAGTGCAACTGTGTCACGTGTAACTGGTGGTTCGGTGTAGCTTACAGCATGTCTTGCTGATCTCTTCTGGAAATTAGTGTAGATCCCTTCAAATATAGACCTGATCTAGACTTTTTCCCCCCATAGCAGCAGTGAGCGCAAATCCCTTTGTCACCTTAGAGCCCTGAACATTTTTTGGATGGACGTTCCGCCAGGCCCATTACCCCATTTGTGTAATTTCTGAACTAATTTACTAAAATCCTTTTCTTGTGGGAGGAAGTTCCACCAGGCCCATTACCCCATTTGTGTAATTTCTGAACTAATTTACTAAAATCCTTTTCTTTCCCTAGAGGCACATGGGTTTGCCGATTTATTTGCTGGTTTCTAGTTGTTAAAGAAATTGTACATTTATTTATTCATTATATGAGTATGTTCAGAGATTTATTGCAGTGGCAATCCATGGGACCTTGGTTCTCTTTGTGTATTTGCAGAGGAAACGAAGTTCCCGCACTACTTCCTGCTCACAGTACAGGAACATTCATACAGAGAACTGAATATTGCAAAGAAGCAAATAAAGTAGTATGCAAATCCAAGTGCTCACTATATAACCCTGTGTTTCTCCCTTAACACAAGACAGAATTTTCAAAGAATAAAGGTGGGCTGTCCATTAACAAATTGCCCCAATCTCCTTTGAGCTGGGAGTGGTTTAAATGTCATATTATGACAGCCCAGGCAGTCCCCCTGTGTCGGATTATGACGGTCACGTAATCGCTCAACAGAGCAGTCACATGGCTACAACAGGTGTCCAAGTGTCTGTCTGCAGGGGGACTGTCTGTGCTGACAGGCAGATTCCCTGCAAGTGTAAAATCAAAGAAAAAATAAAGGTTAATGTTAATAAAAATATATTTATATATGTGTATGTGTATAGATATATGATATATAGACATATATTATATATTTATAATATATGTCTATATATAATGTCATACTCAGTGTAATATATACATATATTAATATAAAAATTATATATAAGTTATATATATATTACTAGAAAAGCTACAATTTCTGGGGAAATTGTGTGAAGTGTTCTTGCCTCCACCAGTAGTCTACAACTGGAGTGGGTGGAGTAACTGGGTGGAGTGGCTTGAGTAACTGTTGTGTGGTTGGAGTGGCTGGAGTAACTGTGGAAAGGTTGGAGTGTGGTTCACTCACTCTACAGCAAGGGCAGAGAAGAGCTTTTAAATCTTTCAAATCTATTGAACATTCCACCAACTGCCAACAGGAACTAATAGATTTCAAATACGGCAGAGAAGAGCGGTCAAAAACAAACTGCTCCAAATTGCTCACTTCACTGGCAGTTGCCATCTTCAAACAGTCGTATTTTAAAAGCTATAAATCCTACATCGAAGGGCTTTATATTGTGATTTTGATGCATAGTATGTCTCTGAAATATAAAAAAATGAAGGCACAGTCGCAGTTTAGATATTGCCCTTTAAATTTGAGGTGGCTAGAGTGGAGTTTCAATGAATTTCAATGAACGGCGTGAGTTGCAAACAAATGGTCATATTGTGAAAACTATCAGGACTATGGCTTAGCCGTGGACATGGTTAGTGACAGAAGGGATAGCTGGACGTTTTGATATAAGATTTGTGTAGGTGGGCTTGAACATAAGGGAGT